GAGGTGGTGTTAACACTAAAATAGATAAAGATTTAATTTCTTCAAAAATATCTGCTTTCTTGGTTTTCAATAAATTGAACTCAACAAAAGGTCCATTAGCAATTTCTTGAACTTTCACTGTACCAAAATTAGATGCTTCAAAAAGAAAATGTTGATACTTTTGTAAACCATTTAGTTTCTTAAAATAAATTCCCAAAATAACTTTAAGATCTAAATATTGAAAACCTTTTCCACCTTCATAGCATTGAGTTTTATTCAATCCCGCTGGACTAGATCTTTTGATGACTTCTACAACATGGCCCACACAATCTAGTCTTGTTCTTCTATAGAGTTTTTTAATCAAGCCAAAACTACCATCACACTTGAATTTGGTATGTCCTGTAATCATGAAATTCAATTCAACACTTTCATAATATCCACAAATTACTAAATATAAATAAAATCAAATAGTCACATTATTTTTATTTTGTCCACCAGCATTATCGCAAGTAATCTTTAAATATTTTTCACCTTTATTTAATTTCTTAATTCCATCAAAGATCATACTAAGTGTGCCATTAGGACCTTTTCCTATGATTTCATTTTCATTAAGAACATAATTAATTTGCTCCCTTATTGCTTCATCTTGAATACCAAATAAATGAACCTTATATGGACTAAGATAATAGATTTTACTTACTTGTTGATCCAAATGTGGTACATGAACATTTTGGGCTCAATCATAACTATAATGAGCAGTAGCATCAATACTGCAATATTGTGTTTTACCCTTTGAATTATTTTGATTAATCAATTTTCTTTGTTCTTCTGCTACAGTGCAGAAGCTCTATAATAAGAAAAAATGTTGCCTTTTTTAAAAGGGTGTAGATCACCCAAAAAAAATTTTAAAAAAAAAGTACACTGTAATTTTGATAGCTAATGACCTTAACTTTAAAACTTACAGTTTAGAAATTTTATTTTATATATAAATTTTTTGTGCCACACTGTTTCAAAGTTTTACCATTTTAATATAGAGATCCATAATTGAGAATAAGTGTTTTTGTGTAACAAATTTTTTTATTGCATTTTTAATGATCTTATTAGCACATATTATTTCTACAAAATTTCATTAATTTTTAATAAATAGTTTTATTATAAAAAACTTTTCTGAAAAATGACATTATTGAAAAGAAAATCTCATTTAAATAGCCAAAATTGTAGTGGAAAAGGAATTTTTATCAATAAAAATAAGCAAGCTCGTTATAAATCAAGATGATGATTATGCTCCAGAAGAATATTCTTCTGATAGTTCTGAAATTGCTGATGAATTTATAGGAGCTCATTATAATATTGTTTCAAACATTAAATTAGAATGGAATGATGATGCTGTTAAAAATGTCAAAAAAGCTTATGTAGGCAATTCAACAGCTACCCATTATAGAAAGTATGGGCCATCAGGCTCATTTACTAATGCATCAAAATCAACAAGTTCTATTACAAATTATTTTAAGTCAATTAATGTTAAAAAGGTAAGTGTTGATGACAATAATGATGATGTCTTTGATGATGATGGTAATGATAATGTTGATAATGTTGATGATAATGTTGATAATATTGCTAATGTTGATACTGTTGATGATGATGTTGATGTTGATGTTGATGGTAATGTTGATAATATTGCTAATGTTGATACTGTTGATGATAATGTTGATGTTGATGTTGATGTTGATGTTGATGTTGATGCTGATGTTGATGTTGATGTTGATGTTGATGTTGATGATAGTGATGATAATGATGACCAAATGGAGAATCATATTAATTTTATGAAAAGTTACAGGACTTGAATTGTATTTTGTCAGGTAATTTAAAAAAAATTTCTGCATATGAATATTTATGTTATAGAGCTATATATATATATTTCAATTATAAGAAGAATTATGGCATGACTTCCATTGATGCTAGTATGAAAGCAGCCAGTGACATTTATGAGAAAGGAGTATATAAATCTAGAGTTATAAGAAAATGTTCATCATATTGGTTAAACCATGGTACACTGCCAAAATCATTACAAGGTTGCCATCAGAAAACAAAGTCTTTCATTGATGATGAAGATGTGATTGAACAATCATTAAATTTTGTCAGAACAAATGGCAATAAAGTAACACCTTGTAAATACAAAGATTTTGTTAACAAGGTATTATTTCCAAGTATAGAGACTACACAATCAATATCTTATCAAACAGCTTGCATTTGGTTACATAAATTAGGTTTAAAGCCTCAATCACATAAAAAAGGCATTTATTATGATGGACATGAACGTGAAGATGTCATAGAATATAGGAAAAAGTTCCTTGAGGAAATGCAATTTTATGAAAAATATATGCCAATCTTTGAGGGTGAGAATATGGAACAAAAGAATCCTATTTTATTAGAGAATGAAAAATTGCATTTATTTTTAGTTCATGATGAATGTTTGTTTTATGCAAATGATGATTGACCAATAGTATGGGCACCTCTTGGAGAACAACCATTACGAAGGAAAGGCCAAGGTAAATCAATAATGGTGAGTGAATTTCTCACAGAAACAGTTGGTAGGCTTAAATTATCAGAAAGTCAAATTTTACAATTTCCAGACTTACCAAAAGAAGCCAGAAAATATTTAAGACCAGGGAAAAATGAAGAAGGTTGGTGGACTGCAGATCATCTTTTAGAACAAGTTGTTGACTATGCAATACCAATTTTTAATGCATTACATCCTAATGCAATTGGTGTATTTGCTTTTGATAACAGCACCAATCATGGTGCAATGCCACCAGATGGATTGAATGCTATTAATATGAATGTTAAACCTGGAGGGAAACAAGCAATAATGAGAAATACCTACTTTGGACCCAATAAAACATTTCAATCAATGGTGTTTCCAAGTAATCATACAGAGCACCCAAATTTACCAAAAGGAATGAAACAAATTCTGATTGAGAGAGGTTTATGGAAAGAAGGACTTCCTGGTGATTGCAAACAGTGTAAAGGTAAATCTAAAGTTATTGATAATACCAGAACAGATTGTTGTATGCGCCGAATTCTTTCTTTGCAAGATGATTTTGTTGCTCAAAAATCAAGGTTACAAGAGGCTATTGAGCAACATGGACATAAATGCATTTTTTTCCCAAAATATCACTGTGAACTTAATTGGATAGAGATGTATTGGGGTGTTGCAAAGTTTTACACTTGTAATAATTGTAATTATACCTGGACTGGTCTGCAAAAAACAGTTCCAGAAGCATTAGATTCAGTTCCTTTAATTACTTTACGTAGATATGCACAAAAATCATGGCGTTATATGGACATTTACAGAAAAGGTCTAACAGGAAAAGTAGCTGAATTTGCAAATAAAAAATATAAATCCCATAGACGAGTTCCTGATATGGTTTATGATGAAATTAACAATGTAATTTAAATAAATTGTTGTAAATAAAAAATTACTAAATTAAGAAAGATCTACAAATTGAAAATTGAGAAAAAATTTTTATTCCATAAATCGATTCCTTTTTTAAAGCTGAGTTCAATGGTGGTATTTTTTTAAAAATCTGATGTGTGGATCACATGATATTTCAATTTTTCTAAGTTCCCATTATAGGCCTTCTGCACTGTAGGTGTCCTGCATCATATATATGACTAATTTTTTACACAATAGGTGATAATAAAATAGCTATAATCTTGTCATGATTACAGATAACAGAAACATCCTGCTAATGATGATGTTGATGAAGAAAATTTTAATAATAATAATGCTGAACAAAAACACAGTAATAAAATTTTTTGAAATTTGTTTTTACAAATTATCTATTTTATTAATAAAATTTATATATGGTAAATAGTTAAAAAAAGAAAGAAGGTATTGTTAAATCTAGCATAAAGTCTAGATCTAAATCAAAAAAATAAGTGTAAGAAATTAAGTAGATTATTTATTTTTAATTATGGAATTTGAACAATTATGCTGATTATATTCACTTCTACTAAAATATTGTTAGCAAATTCATATTTTTTATTTTCAACAAATTGAGGGTCTTTGGTTATTGATTTTTTTTTTTTATACAGTACATATGCACATACATATGTATGTTTGCATATATCATCATCAATAAAGTCAATTAAAGTTGTTAAAGTTACAATTAAAATAAGATAAACCATTCAATAAATTTATGTTAATATAATAGATAATCAAATGAATTTATTCTTTTTGTTAAGGTTGGATAATCAGGATCTGTGCCTTTAGGAGTTTTAGCCATAATATGTATGATGTATTTCCATTGCATTCAATTGATATGAATCATCACAATAAAAGCAGTTTGATTTTGTTGAAAGAACAATTTATAATTAATATTATTTTCTGTTAATTATTTATATAAATATTTGCTTGACATTTTTCAAATGCTGAATAAATAAAATTTTATCACATTATAACTTTGCTATCACTATATCCTTTTTACATATATATAAAACATAAGAAATTAGATAATGTTTAGACTTCTCCAAGTAATACTGAGAAATAGGCAGCTTTTACTAAGTAAATGAAACTTTACCAAGTAGTAAGTAATTTTAGAGTAGTAATAATTTGGAGTGAATAGCTTATACTAATGAAATAATACCTTTTACTAAGGGATTAGTATTGGTTACTATGGTATTAGTATGGTTTTTTAAATTATTTTGTTTGAAATTTTACAAGAAATTAAAGGGGCTTATAATCTAATATAGAATAATTTTGAACCAATTTGACACGTGATTCACTACCTTAAATGTGTGTAACGATAATAAGATTTTTAACCAAAATTGCAATCCAAAAGGATTAAAGTGTATTTGAGAGCTCTAATGATTTTGAATAATTTTAATGTTAATAATTTTCTTATTATCTATATTATTTATATTAATGGCCCAGATAATACTAATTAAAAGAAAATAATTTTTGGTTTTTTTTAAAAAAAAAACTTGTTCAATATATTCATATTTGCCCAAAATTTCATATGACCAGGCAAAAATTTACCCACTTAAATATTAAGTTGTCCTGAATAAGGTTTGATAAAATAAATATAACAAATAAAATATAACACAGTCTTGTAACGAAAAAGGTAAGTGTATGTTACATTTCTTATATTTAGTACACTTTTAGGAAAAATTAAGAAAAAAATATTATTTTCTTTTTAGTTTTGTACCTCTATTTGAAATAATTTTTTTTTACATTACTAATCACATATATACCACACAAATTTTTTTTTATCTGAATAATACATACACACACATATAATTGCTTTTTAAAAAAGATCTTTAATAATTTCTTTGTCTTGGTTCAAGTTATGACTTTTCTACGACCTAGAGCATTATTGTTCTTACTTGTTATTAGTATATGTTTTTTCTTATTTTGGCCTAAAACTTTTCAACCAAGAAAATTTTATTGTCCATCAGACGGCACAATACCCAAAAATTCAAATGGTCCCGGGCCTCTACTCGATGCGACAAGATCCTCTATAATAATTGACAACGATGGAAATCCAAGAGAGTATCTTAATGCGAAGGGTTACGTCACTTTTCTTGATTTGTTAACTAAACAACATCAAGTTGTTATAGACCAATTGATAAAAAATGCCAATATTGCTGTGGCAAATAATAGTGTTTATTCGGTAACTTTAAAGGCTCAATTACCACCTTCAGGAGATATTCATGATTATATGTCATTGGCTAGGTATTTTTGGCCGGATCCAACAAAATCTGATGGACTACCATATATTCGTAAAGATGGCTATTCAAATCCTGAATTTTTCACTGTGGAAGATTATACTTACTTGAGAAAAATGTTTAGAGAAGTTCAAGATTTGGGATTTGCTTATCATTTTACCAGAAATGAATCATATGTTGAAAAAGCTATATTCCGTATAAAAGAATGGTTTTTAAATGAGGAAACAAAAATGAATCCAAATCTTAATTTTGCAGGTTTCAGGAAAGGTCAAGCTACAGGTTGGAAGACTGGAGTTTTAGATTTTCATCAAGTATTCAGGTAAAGATTAAATTTCCAAATATATGTATATTATATTATATATGAATTTATACAAATTTATAAACATTATTTATTTATAGGATGTTACAAGGAATGAGACCTTTGAGAAATTCACATCTTTGGGATAAAAATGTTGATAAAGGATTACATATTTGGCTTTCAGAATATTATACATGGCTTATAACATCAAAATTGGGAGATCTAGAATCGAAAGCTAAAAACAATCATGGAACATTTTATGATGTCCAAGCATTGTTTTTATTAGATCATCTTGGTAAATATGATGAAGCTAAAGAGTTTGTTCTAAGAGCTTTGATAAGTCGTATAGAAAATGGAATTCTTCCAACTGGAGTACAACCTTTCGAAACTGAAAGACCTACAAGTTGGTTTTATTCAATTTTTAATTTACAAGGTTTATTCATGCTTGCAGAAAGAGCCGACCATTATGGAATAGATGCGTGGAATTATGTTGGATCTAGGGGTCAGAGTATACAAAAAGCAGTAGACTATCTATTACCTTTTGCTTTGAAAGATGGAGAAGGTTGGCCATTCCCTAATATTAAAGGATTTGAAATGAACGATTATGTTAAAATATTAGAGTTATCATACATAATTTATAAAGATAAGAAATACCTTGAAGCAATAGAAGTCCTGAGACCAAAGGCTAAAGCTGAACAAGCAGCTGGTTTAAAACTTGCAAAATGGGAAGATAATTATTTATGTGATTTAGCATTATTAACAAATAGAAATCTTTGGACTTGTTTGTATTAAAAAAAATTAGAAATGTTGTTATAGTTATGTTGTTTTTTTTTTTTTAGAATAAAAAGGCTTTATTATTTTTTAATTTGTATAGATATAATAATAAAAAAAACTAATATATTATTAATGTTGATCACCGTTTGAATTTTTTTATTTTCCAAAATGTTCATTTTAACAATGTTAAAAGACACGATACATATTCAACCATATAATTTTCATAGACCTAAATTTGATGCATTAGGCGATGAAATTAATAGAATTTATGCAAACAAGGTAAATAAAAAAAAATAATTTATTGATTAAGAAAAGTAAATGAAATGCTAATTTTATCAAAGGTTGTTCAAGGAGTTGGATTATGTATTTGTTTATTTGATATATTAAATGCAAGTGAAGAGATTGTTCATTATGGTGATGGAGCAAGTTACGCTAGAGGTAAAAAAAATTAAAAAAAAGTTTTTTGAGAAAAGAAAAAGTAATTAATATAATATTATTTTATTAATATATAAGTGGTATTTAGATTAGTTGTATTTCGTCCATTTATTGGTGAAATAATTGAAGGAAAAGTTTCAAGTAATACATCGGAAGGTGTAAAAGGTTTAAGGAAAATGATATTTGTTAATTAAATAATTATCACATACATAAATACAAATATATTTATTATAAATTTGATGAAAAAAAAAATTAGTGAGCTTAGGATATTTTGATGATATATTAATTCCGACAAATCTAGATGATTTTTGGAGATTGTAAGTTATTAAATATTTTTTATATAAATATTTTGCGTATATATATTATTACAAATATAACCAATTTACGAATTAATAGTGATTATAATTTTCAAGTCTGGGTGAGACTATGGGATAGTCATATACCAGATAATATGTGGAAGACACCAGAGGATAAATATTTATACATGTACATGGATAAAGATCAACCAATAAAATTTCGTGTTATTGAAGAAAAATTCACTGATACTGGATCAAAAGGTCCACCGCCCAAAAGAACAGGATCTATAGCCGGACAACCGGTCCCAACACCAGCTCCTTCATCATTACCATCAGATGTTATGATAGTAGGTAATCGTAATAATAGTGTTACTAATAGTGTTGTTGGTGCTAATAATAACAGCCGTAATAGCAATGTTAATTTTAGTGGTGGTGGTAGTGCTGTCGTTGGCAATAATAATATTGGAGTAAATACTGGTAAACAAGCACCTTATGAATTGATTGGATCAATTGCAGAAGTTGGACTTGGTCTTACTTCTTGGAGTTGGGGTTGACGATGATAACGATGATGATAAATGAATTGGAACATGGTGACCTAGTATTTTTCTGATTCAAAATAATCTTGAGAAGTGATGATAAGATTTTTGATTCCATTTATTTTATATATTAAATAAAATACATTTAAGATTTTTTCTTTTTTGATAAATGAGTTTATAACTTTAGATTATCCAAAAAATATCAGTTATTTTAATTAACAACATATAAATAAATTTTACGAAGGATGTTAGGATATTTGCCTTCGCTACTACTACCTTTAGTTATCAATGACAACTAGCACTAGATTCAATAATTCCTTAAAAAATAAGCTCGTCGTAAAACCTTTAGCTTATTTCAAAAATTATATTAATGATGACAACATGACCATCGAAATATTAATGATCATATAAAAAATAAAATTAGAATGGCTTTATTTTTATTCTTCTAATAAACAATCAAGATTATTTCAACGTGATCAGAAAAGAACTGAAAACGGTAACGAGTCGCCGCTTTTTTCACCGGCATTATCAGAAAAAGATTTATCTGAATTTTTCTTACCTGGGTCACGTGGCGGTGCTTTTGATGATGATGATGATGAAAGAATGTCAAAATTAGATCATTTATCAGATGATGAATTCTACTTTATAGAAGAGTTTGAACCTGACGAGATAATAAGAAGAGAATGGTTTTGGATAAGATGGGCAAGAAATGTTTATTTACTTTGTAGATTGATTTGGAGATGGGTTAAATTCATGTTTATTTTATTCGCTGCAAACATAATGGCAATATATCGTGGTCCTGATGATATTTTACCTTGATTGACATTTAATTAAATTTTTGTGTATATCAAAAATTCAAAGACTTTATATATAAAGGATATATATAATTTCCACAATAATTAAAAAAATCTTAACGCATCTTTTTTATATTTTGAAAAGAAAAAACATTTATTATAGAATTATCTATTTATTTCAATGTATTATTTATCATACTCTCACACACATTTTTTATATAAATATTTTGCGTATATATATTATTACAAATATAACCAATTTACGAATTAATAGTGATTATAATTT